ATGGATTTTACATGTATTTCTTGGTGAAAGTCAGCATGGTGATTTTTGGGAGAAACTTCACCTGGATAGCGTTTTCTTGGCGTAGCCAGGATGTTTTTTTTAATATTTGGGCCAAAGATTCGTCCAGAAAGCTGGCACCGGTGGCAGGCCGTCCTAGCCCTGATGAATAGCGAAGGCTGGAGTGAGTTGGAAGCTGAGATGATCGGTTGGTCGATTATGGAGAATCCCCATGGTTCGCAGGTGGTTCCTCACGCAACGATACGCAACAGGTGGCGACATGAAATTCACAGTTGGTGACAATGAAAAACGATGAAATTCACAACAAAGAGTTGCCCAATTGCCCAAAGATTCCATTTCTTGAACGCCAAAGGATTCATTATAAGACCCCTTCCCGGAGCCTATCATTTCTCAGGGGATTATTACCCAATCCCACTTATATAGGGTAACGTCAGAACCACATTGAAATTGCTCTGCTTGGATTCCAGGGATAAGCTGAACCCCCACTTAGCTGTTTTCAAAACATACCAAACCTGTTTTTCAAAGCTGATTCCAGGGATCTCACTTGTGGGTTAAGCTGGTGGAATTCACTAAGTGGCTAAAAAAATATATATCCCACCATTGGTGATTTCCCAGAACAAACTGATGAGAAGCAACTCCCAAAAAGATGGAATGGTGTTTCCAAGATTATACTTCCATGATGTTTTCTCCATACTTTCCCATCATCCAACTTTTCGGTACCTTTGTGGAGTTGCTTCACTTTCTGCGATACTGATGAGGATGGTAAGGGAGACTATTTTTGGTGGTTGTTTCCCTTGGAAAAAAACATATCAGATACCCTCCAGTAATCAAACATGGAAATCCATCATTTAGAGTTGATTTTTCCAGCTATAAACCTCCATTTACAGGGAACTGGCCACGTTTGATTGCCGGATTATCCAATATTCCATGAGTATTCCATACCAAATCACCATGAAATCACCATTTCTAGATGATTTTCCCATGATACTGTGGATGGAAGACATCCCGCATCACCTTCGATGGTTGGAACCCTAGAAATAATGAGATAAACCACCAAAAATGTGCAGGATTTCTTCCATCCACAGTATCCGTATGAGATACGAATTTCCTGTTTTTTTTGTCTCCCCTTTTTGGTTTCGATGGTCTGCTTCAAGCCGCCAAGGCCCTCGCCGTTCAGCGAGGCCGGCTGGTTTGGCGCGTCATTGAAATCACGGGCCGGGGAGCTAAGGAGGATGGAAGGGTGGGTCCACCTACGATATGCAAAACTATAATACTAATAATAGTGATAATAATAATAATAACAATAATAATAATGATAATACGGCCAGGCGCTGTGTTTTGCCCGGAAGGTTCAAATGGCGTTTAAACATGTTTAAACATTGTCCTTCAACATGCTCAAAGACCTGCACAGGGCCAGTGTTTTGAGATTTCCCAGACGACGAATCCTAAACCCCAAAACCCTAAACCATCCCAAACCCTAAAACCCAACACCCTAAAACCCTAAACCCTAAAACCTAGGCTCTGAAAACTTTGAATCCTAAACTGGAAAACACTGCGTATACGCAGTTTTTTCTGCAATCTCTCCGATCATATATTCGACAGCACGACATTCTCAATGTTAATGTCTGGGCAACACACGGCGTCTGTGGGTAATACGGCCTGGGTAATAATACTACCACTAAGAATAATGATAATGACAATATAATAGTAAGGCTTATAAGAATTCTAGTAATAAAGATAACAATAATATGTATATATATATACATGTATGGTATGTGAGTACTGATATATATATTTTCATTGATCATTCTTGATATTCAAAAAAAATGTATATATATATATATTTATACATATGATATGTCTATATATACGTATTATATGTATACATGTCTTTGAACTAAAGAACTGGATGCTGGTTGACTATTCTTTGGGATCCAGCGTTAAATTTCTGGATGGCTAACTTTGGGATAGTTGATGGGTTATGAAGGGATTAGGATTATCATGCTATGATACTTACTGTACCATGCCAACTGAAATTTTGACCCTGAAAGCTGCTCATCCCAGTTTGGGAAAATCCTGACTTCCAGCCGAACAAAAATGGCGGGATTTTGGAGGCCAAAGTAGGAGCTTGTCATACACCCAAAAATTGTGCCACACATTCCTGGGTTTGTTTAAGGTGATTTTTTGTTTTCCCAATGGAAAATCCACGATTTGGCGAATCAAAAATGTGAATATTTTTGAATGTTTTGGGGACCCCTTAAATTTCGCAAATCCAAGTACCCTCTGGTAATTTGTTACATAGCAATGGAAAATCACCATTTTTCATGGGAAAATCCACTATAAATGGTGATTTTCCATAGCTATGTAACAAATTACCAGAGGGTATTTTTTTTGCATCTGGCAGCCAGCTGAAGAAGTCCACTATTGCACCAGGGACCCATGGACCTATTCACATTGGTTTTTCGAGTTGAAGATATGTGGTTGGAGAATTTGCCCCACCTTTCAGTAGAAGTTCACCATTGGCTTATAAGACCATCCAACTATATATCTACATATATGTACATATATATATACATACAATAGATATCCACCATAAATCCAACGTTTGCCTAGTTGTGTTCAATCTCCAACTTTTCCCTAATAGATTAACTATAGATCCCCATGTTTGTTGGTGAAAAGCAATGGTTTTGCGTTCGGAAAATGATGTAGAAATGGGCGATTTTCCACATCAAAAAGCAAGCATTTAGAGGAGAATTACTGTAACCATAAGAACTAGACGACGGATGGCCCGAGAGCGTAGAGGAGCAGGGTCTTCTCTTGTTAGTATGGAGATGCAATTTTAGAAACGGTATATGAAAGCTGTGTTATAGGCAGTCGAGAAGAGGAGTATAAAGACAAAATAGTGAGAAGTGCAAGACAATAGTTTGCATCGCAAACACTTTTACACACAGACGCTTTTACACAGACGCTTTTACACACAAAGCTTTTACCCACAGAAGCTTTTACACACAGAAGCTTTTACAGACAGAAGCTTTTACATGCAGAAGCTTTTACATACAGAAGCTTTTACACACAGACGCTTCTACACAGACACTTTTACACACAGACACGTTTACACACAGACACTTTTACACACAGACCCTTTTTACACACAGACGCTTTTTACACACAGACGCTTTGACACACAAACACATTTACACACAGAGGCTTTTACACACAAACGCTTTTACACAAACACTTTTACACACAAACACTTTTACACACAGACGCTTTACACACAGACGCTTTTACACACAGACGCTTTTACACACAGAGACTTTTACACACAGAGACGCTTTTACACACAGAAGATTTTACACACAGACGCTTTTACACACAGACGCTTTTACACACAGACGAAAGGGTTGCTCCGGCACAGGAAAAATCGCAATTTTACCTCAGTTTCTACCGATCGACCCTCATTTCGTGCGAAAGGGTTGCTCCGGGGCAAGTAAAATCGCAATTTTACTTCAGTTTTTGCCGATCGACCCTCATTTCGTGCGAAAGGGTTGCTCCGGGGCAAGTAAAATCGCAATTTTACCTCAGTTTTTGCCGATCGACCTTCATTTCGTGCGAAAGGGTTGCTCCGGGGCAAGTCAAATCGCAATTTTACCGCAGTTTTTGCCGATCGACCCTCATTTCGTGCGAAAGGGTTGCTCCGGGGCAAGTAAAATCGCAATTTTACCTCAGTTTTTGCCGATCGACCTTCATTTCGTGCGAAAGGGTTGCTCCGGGGCAAGTCAAATCGCAATTTTACCTCAGTTTTTGCCGATCGACCCTCATTTCGTGCGAAAGGGTTGCTCCAGGACAAGTCAAATCGCAATTTTACCTCAGTTTTTGCCGATCGACCCTCATTTCGTGCGAAAGGGTTGCTCCAGGACAAGTCAAATCGCAATTTTACCTCAGTTTTTGCCGATCGACCCTCATTTCGTGCAAAAGGGTTGACGTTTCGTGACTCGCCGCCGGCACCACCCTCGGCCTTAAGAGAGAAAGATAAAAAGAAGGCGTGAGAGAGAAGGTGAGCAGGATGTGAAGATAAGAAGATGTGAAGATGAGCAGATGTGAAGATGAGAAGATGTGAAGATGGGAAGGTGTGAAGATGAGCAGATGTGAAGATGAGCAGATGTGAAGATGAGCAGATGTGAAGATGAGCAGATGTGAAGATGAGCAGATGTGAGAAGATGAGCAGTGTGAAGATGAGCAGATGTGAAGATGAAGAAGATGTGAAGATGAGCAGATGTGAAGATGAGCAGATGTGAAGATGAGCAGATGTGAAGATGAGCAGATGTGAAGATGAGCAGATGTGAAGATGAGCAGATGTGAAGATGAGCAGATGTGAAGATGAGCAGATGTGAAGATGAGCAGATGTGAAGATGAGCAGAAGGTGTGAAGATGAGCAGATGTGAAGATGAGAAGATGTGAAGATGAGCAGATGTGAAGATGAGAGGATGTGAAGATGAGAGGATGTAAAGATGAAAAGATGTGAAGATGAGAGGATGTAAAGATGAAAAGATGTGAAGATGAGAGGATGTGAAGATGAGATGTGAAGATGAGAGGATGTGAAGATGAGATGTGAAGATGAGAAGATGTTTTACAGACCCCCACTATTGGAAGAACCCTGCGCTCAGACGCTCTCGGGAAAAATAGTGAATTGGGAAAATTTCAATATTTTGTGGGATATACTGTACATATGTATAGCCAACAGTCTGGTCTGGATTATGGATGTTTATAATGACATATCAACCAACAATATGGGGTTAAAAAACCCAAACTACTAGTTAGCTGGTGCTTCAATGATTTTAATATCCAATTAATCACTATTAAAATCACTAACATCACTATCAATCTGAGGAACATCACCATTAATCACTTAAAATCACTATCAAAATCACTCTTAATCACAATGAAAAACACTAACATCAATGTTTCTTGGGTAAGTCACCATGGCCTCGCCGACTCTCCTTAAGGAGAAACCCCCAAAGCCCACCTCGCCGACTCTCACTGCCTTGGGGAGTGGCAAGCTGCGAGTCACCTGGGTGCCTTGGCCTGGCGCGGCGCGGCGCCGTTGATCCAAGAAATCTGCTGAAAAAAATGGGGATTCAATGGGATTCAACTTCATTCAACTTCCAGAGATATGGCAGATATGGGGATATATGGGGATTCCACATATATCCACTAATATGATTTTTCAGCAATTTTGTTCGGAAAACACAGGCGATAAACTGGGTCAGAAATGACCAACGAAAAACTGGGGATGACGGGACATCTGGGCAAAGCTTGGACCGAAACCTTGCTGGGTATTCTTTGCGGCTCAAAGATGGTCCTATGGGTGTGAAATGGTAGTGATTTGATATGATCATCTTTGAATCCATAGGAAATGACTATCATAGATGTGATTTTTTCAATGATCATGGGAAAAAAAGATGGTTCCATTTTATGAAAACTCCCAAAGGATTTTTAATTGGTATGAATCCATCCTCCAGTTTTGGTTGATGACCCTCCCGTAGATGTCTATTCATTGTTACTGGTAACAATGAATAGAGGAAGTGAAGTGGCAAAGTGGCAGTGAACTGGCTGAAGTCCCTACAATATTAGCAATCTATAAACTATTACCATCTGGTTATTTAACATAGCTATGGTATAGATGGCCCATAGAAATAGATGGTTTACCTATTAAATGCCATGCGGACTGGCTGTTGGAATATGTTGGAATCATCCCAATTTTTGACATCCGAAACGGGTGGGTTTTCAACGTGAAACCATCCAATTCATTGGAGGTTCACGACTGACTTTACCGCAAGCGGTTGCTTTGTAGTTGCATTTTGGTATCCTAGCAATTTACGCATCTTGACAAAGAGATAGATGCCTCTCGTTCAACTTTCCGTGAAATTGGTTCAGACATTTTTCCAAGTCTGAGAAAAGCTGTCAAAGAAACATTAAGTGAGTGTTTCAAGTTTCAAACGTTCTGTATTCTCCATCCCTATTGGGCAAAATGATCTCCAAGTGGCTCATATTTTTCAAGGGGTCTTAAGCCACCAACTATAGCAATTGGTGGACAAATTCCCAGTTAGCCCATTAAATGCCATGAACACCGGGCTAAATCCGCTGGATTTTGCGCCAGTTTCTGAGGCTGTTCCAAGCGCGGCGCCTCCCGTAGAAGCTACTCAGGTGGGCAAAGATGAGGATTTTTTTGGCCCAAAAACAGATGGGGATGAGTGAAGAACCTATTACCTAACTTATTTTTTTTTAGGGGATGAAGATCGAGTTAGCAGCTGCTTTCATCTGGGAAGTACGAAAATCAGCCAATCTTCTCTAAGTGCTGCTGATTGCTGTTGACTCCTTCCCAAAAGCCCAATTGCTAGCGGTGTTCCCCACTTCAAGACTCAGTTTTTCGGTGGGCAATCCCACAAGCGAAGCAGTCATTGGCAAATTTGCTTCCCAATTCCGATCATATCCTGAGTTTCGTTGCTGCAACCCCTCCGTATTGTTTCTGAAGTCCTGGGGAAACTCCCGGATTGTCATCGGTCAAATCCCCTGTTTTTTCTTGGGTTTTTTGAAACATGGCAATCGAGAATCCATCATTTATAGATGGATTTCCCCAAAAAAACCGCTTGATTTATAGTGGATTTCCCGTTGCCATGTTTGATTGCCGGAGGGTATTATCCAACATTCCATTCATATTCCATTCATATTCCATTCATATTCCATTCATATTCCATTCATATTCCATTGATATTCCATTCATATCACCATTAAATCACCATTTCTAGATGATTTTCGCATGATATCCCACGTAGTACCGATCTGGAGCAGGTCCAGCTTACAGACGTGGGCACAGGTGCGTGGGCCAGTGGGCTTCAATGGCTTCAAGCATCAACGGCCAGACATGTTTTTTTCCTATCCTTTTCTGGTGAAGTGAGTTCATGGAATATTCATGGAATATTCATGGAATATTCATGGAATATTCATGAACTATTCATGAAATATTCATGGAATATTCATGAAATATTCATGAAATATTCATGGAATCTTAATCAACAATCAATTCCCTCGGGCTTTTCCGGGTTGGTTTTCCTAGCCTTTTCTCACCAAGCGTCACCGCTCGATGCGCTGAGGCAAGAAATGGCTCATCGACCTCACCGGCGCCTTGGTGTCCAGTGGCCGCACCAGCTTCGCGCCCTCGCGCACCGAGGCGCCGCGGGTGTTGGTTTCGGTGGTGGTTGGCGAAGCCAGGAAAACCATGGGATCCATAGGAAAACCATAGGAAAACCATAGGAAAATGGAGGTTGACCCTCTGGCAAACATACAAAAAGCTATTGAAGCCATGGTCATAGAAATAGTTGATTTATCCAGTAAACATGGTGATTTCCCATATTCAATGTGGGTAAAGCAATGTGATAAACCAGCCATGACTGGGAATGGTTTATACTCTACCACCTATAAACATGGTGATGACTGGGGGATGGTTTATGGCATTGTTTTAGCCACATTATTTTTGAAGAGGTAAAGAGTTCAGGAATGACATACCAGGTTATAACTTAACTGGTTCCGGTTAACAAAGTACTACCGTAGTATCACTATTTTCTTGGAGGTAAAGAGTTCAGGAATGATGAGCTTGCAGTAACTTGACTGGTTCCAGCGAACAAACTGTGTTGAACACTATATAGCGGAAGTTAGCTCAGTTGGTAAACAGTTCACTGATATTTCACACATGGGCCATTGATGGCCATGGGTTTATGCTGATGATTTTCGCTGGAAAAAAACGGGCCAATGTCAACCCTGGATGAATGCCGACAGCCCATGGGATTTTTCACACAGAAATTGGGCGCTTCGGGGAGACTCAAACTACAGCAACCACACATTTGGCCAAGAAGTGAGCAAATTGGAGAAGCTGATATAATGTGGTAAACCCACTGATTAATCCCCTTTTAATATGTGGTAAACCGGTAAACCCAATAAATCATCCCCTTAAAATATCACCTTAAAATTGGGTGCGACATGTCCCAGTCATGGTCAGGTGAACATTCATGGAGTCCAGGCTCGGGTTTCGGTCATTGGTCATGGGAATTGATGATCAACCAGAAAAAAAATCGACAAGTCGTGGGGCCCCCGTGGCCACGAAATCGCTAAGTTGGGGGCCACAGAACTCCAATTTCACGAACTGGTTTATGGTACGGTACTTATAACTATAGTTATATAGTGGGGTTTTTGTAAACCAACGTTCACATCACTGGGGGGGCCCACATAGCCATGGCTAGCCCATTTTCCGACAAACAAAAAATCCGTGTTGTGTTTGAGGTATTTTGAAGTTTGAAGACATGCATTTTTCGATGCATGATTTTTTGCAAATAGAAAGGTGCCTGGGTACCAAAAAAATGTGGTACTTACATATACACGTCTGAACATAGGCTACCCCAAATCCAAAGATTTATTAGCATTTTCCCTATTAAAGTGCCGTTTGGGAGGTATACCTCATTTTTAGACACACCCAAAACATATTAAATTATATACATATATATACACAGATATGATAAATGTAGTATAGTCACCCCGAAAAGATAGAAAAGTAAAGTCCCATCTTGGGTGACATCACATATATAATATACACATACACGTATATACATGGCCTATGAAAATCGCAGTGTATCCCTATTGTATCCCCTATGTCGTTGGTTCACCATTTCTATTGGAAGAAACATCCCACCATGTTCCTTGAAGGACTGCGTGGAATATGCAGCAGAAATTTGCTGTCGCAATGCCGAGGTGCGCGGTTCAAAGGGTTCAAAGGTGGCTGTTTTTATGAAAACCCTGCGAAGTTGTGCTTGAGTCAGACATGAACTATGGGGAGTTTACCAACACACGTGGGAAAATCACCAGCAGAACTTGGGATCCAATAAAATGGACATGGGAGTTTCATCAGGAAATAGACCCCGAAGATAGGCAAGTTTTAGTAGAAACCAATCTTCCAACCTCCGACAAACGGCAGAGTCTATGTGAATTTGCGGGAGGGTAACACATATAAGAATAGGTTTTTGAATCCCTACAATGTGGGGCCCCCGTTACAAGTTGGTTTATAACCCCATGAACTAGTTCGTTATTTGCGTATCATCAAGCATAGTTATTGGACTTACCCTCTGGTAATTTAACATAGCTATTGAAAATGGCCATTTATAGTGGATTTTCCCATTAAAAATGGTGATTTTCCATAGTTATGTTAGTTTACCAGAGGGTATTTGCACCAACTTAGCGATTTCGTGGCCAGCCCAGGGCTTTGGAGAGTACTCCATGTCCAGTGACAGCGTTGCCAACATCGACGCCAAGGCTGCAGAGCTATTCGGTCGTTGTTTTACAACGTGAATTTCTAGGTGCCAAAGAGGAGAGTGAAAAACTGGGAGCTAATGTATTTTGATGGTAAACAAGTGGGTTTGTCTGAAAATAGGGTATATTCCCAATTATAGCCATTTAATAGGGATAATGATCATTAACCATTGGGTTTAGGGGTACACTATTTTCAGACACACCCAAGTAACATATTTCCATGTCACCATTTGGGCGATACATGCGATCAAGGCTGTTTGTTGATGGCCGTTTCTTGTTTGAACTTCTAATTTGGGCATGGCTCTAACATGGTGTGCTGCTGGAATGACACTTGAGCCAATCCCAAGATGTCGCGATTTTCTTCTTGTTTGCCTGGCTGAAAAACGCCCAACTTTGACACCCCCAGTTCGGTATCCCCCAATTATAACGGCTTATTCACCATCTATCCCTTATATTATCATGGTTTATTCACCATCTATCCCCCATACTATCATGGCTTATTCACCATCTATCCCCCAATCATAAAGGCCTTTAAACACTTATTCACCATCTCTGATGGGTGTCACCGAACGGTTGAAGCGGAAGGGGCAGATTGGCGGCATGCAATTGGTGATCCATGAGGGTGCCTCAACTGACGCCCCTGGGCCGAAGAAATTTCGGGGGGACTGTCGGGACTGTCGGGAGTTTACGCAACATCAATAAATTGGGATTGAACCAAAACACAGATGTAACATGACATCACTAGCTACTCTATGTGGCAGTGTGTCAAAACCAATAGTACCCCTTTTTTGTTCACATCAAAATAGCTGGGTTAAAATGGATGTTCATCCCTTAATAAAAATGGTATTTTCATAGGTATTGATCCATAGCCATGTGGGAATGAATATGACATAGTCCCAATAGAGACACTTGAGGTGAACTGCGAGGTTTCTGACTTTGGAGCCATACTCTGTACTGATGGAGAAAGAAACACATGAAAAAGCTTGGCCTACGAGATATATGATCTATAGTTTGATGGAATGGTTGGTTTCATCTAGCTTATAATGGTTATAATAGTTATAATAGTTTCCTAGTTGATTACCTTAGTTATAACGTTTTCATCTAGGTTATTTTTTCTCAACTGAGTTAAAATCAAGTCCACGTTTTGGTGATCCCGTTGATACAACATCTTTCCCCATGGAATGATAAGCTTTGTCGACCGGCATGGAATGGGGATATCACCAACCACCACTTGGATGGATGGGAAGCAAGTGAAGCAAGTTACCCTCTGGTAATTTGTCAAATAGCTATTGAAAATGGCCATAGACATAGTGGATTTTCCCATTAAACATGGTGGATCTTTCCATAGCTATGTTAGTTTGCCATGGTCAAGTTACTTGGACCCATCCTGTTGGGGGATGGGTCAAAATGGTCCATGAACATGGGATTTATTTTGACCAGTTTCATGCTATGACGACAAGCCATAAACACCATGACCCCAGTGCTGCACATATGGGGTGCCACAAATTCAGCGAGTGAGTTGTCGACGCTACAGATTTGTTGGGTGGATATCATGTATGGATTGAACATGGGATGGATCATTCATAGCCAAATCATTCAAAATGACATGGAGAACCTCTGGGTCAAGCTTGGTTCGATACTTTAGTATTTTTCCATCTTTTTGCTATCAATGGAAAATGCACTAACCAGATATTAATCTTTTTTTTGTTTTTTTTGCAGGTATCTAAGATTCACCATGCCTATAGTTCTTAGCTATGAGATTGAATATTTGAATATGGACTCAGAGTTCATCTCTGGATGGATCTTTTATGGGTTTCAACTCTTACTTTGAAGGCAGCCCGTCTGCCCGTCTGCCCAGAGTCCGAGTCACGAGTCACCTCGCAGTGAGGTTCCAGTCATGGTCCCACAGGGAGATGGCAAGATGAAGGCGTGCAGATTTTCCTGGGGATCAACATGGAAAATCCATGGGTTGATTATGATTGACATGGCCATGACTCAGGAACCGATTGATTGGAGGTACCTACCATGTATAAAGGCCTATATAAGGCCTATGTAAGGGAATATCCCCACAAAATATGGCCTTATATGGAAGTGAAAACCTGGGTTTGTTTAGTCGGTGATTTTTTGTTTTCCCAATGGTCAATCCACCAGAAATGGGGAATCGATGAAGTGAATATATATATATATATATTTTTTTGAGGACCCCTTAAATTAAGCAAATCCAAGTTATTATTGACATGGCTTAACCAGGTTAAGAATCAGATTTTTTCTCTGGAGATTGGCCTCTGGTAATTTTTGTAAACAGAATCTTCAAGAACGGTGACGGTCAATCATCGAACTAGCAATGGGCCATGGATAACATGGATTACCCTCTGGTAAACATACAAAAAACTATGGAAAGATCCACCATTTTTAATGGGTAAATCCACTATTTCGACTGGGCCATTTTCAATAGCTATGTAACAAATTACCAGAGGGTATATAGCCAGTGACCATCTTGATGTTGGAGTTTAGGAGCTCCAGTACTGGGGATCTGGCGAAGTTGCCCGGAGAGTGGTCTGCTGGTCTGCTCAGTGAATAGCCTAATGGATTTAATGGTAACTGACTAACTGATCATGAATTTACGGATTACCCTTCTGTTTATTTATCAGTTTGAATTTGAAAATAGTAGATTTTGGTGAATCTTCGAAGCCCTATTTGGCAGGATCTATTCTATTTTGCTGGAGGGTATAATTGAGAAACAAGCTCCCGTGATGGACATTAGCACCAAGAATCCATTGTCTGCTAGTGCGTGTCTGATCATCCGCGTACATAATTATGCATGTATATATATATATATATAATCTGGTTGGTGGTTTGGAACATTATTTTTTTCCATATATTGGGAATCATCATCCCAACTGACGTTCATATTTTTCAGAGGGGTAGGTCAACCACCAACCTGTATATATATATATACATATATCACTTGGGGCATCTTTGCACAGGCTGAAATGGAGTGCTATATATATATATAGACAGCTGTATTACTGCATCTGTAATATGTATCTACTCAACAATCTACCAATCTACGAACTTACCAATCTATCTACGTATCTAGATTTCTATCTGCGTATCCTTTATCTAATCCATCTAATCCATCTAGTCCATCTAATCCATCTGTCCACCCATCCATCTATCCACCCATCCATCCATCCATCGATCTATCTATTGATCTATCTGTTTATTTATCGATCTATTGATCTATCTATCTATCAATCTATCTACCCATCTATCTACATGTTTATACGAAATCAATATGATTCAATGGTTGAAAAATCTGTGATTTAGGAGCAACAATGCAAGGATTGTATCCGTATTTGTGCATGGCACATGCGCAGGATTTTTCCAGGTGATGGGGACCGTTACCCACTGCTGACAGCGCAGGTCAGATGGACCCTGCCGGAAGAAGCCAAGCAGACCATCGTGAAGCGCCATGGCGTCAAAACCTGGCCCCGGCTCATCTGGTGGCTTTCTGGGACCCAAGGGACCCAAATCAAGGCCACAGGATGGAGCCCAGTGAAATGTTTGTTGGTGAACATACCCTCTGGTAATTTGTCAAATAGCTATTGAAAATGGCCATTGATAGTGGGTTTTCCCATGAAAAATGGTGGATCTTTCCATAGTTATGTAAACGTTTACCAGAGGGTAACCCCATCTAAATATAGTTATTTGATGTATTTGCGTATCATACACCAACTTGTTATTTTAAATCGTTATAAACCCACCAACTGAACGCGATTTACCTCACTGGGGCCTCATCCTGCAACTAACAGAGCCTTTGAACTGTCAACTATTTTTGGATGGTTTTGGGCGAAACTTGGCGACCCAACTTTCAGCGAGTTGCCCGACATGCAGAGTGGCAATGAAACCGTAGCCATTTCGCGTTTCACCTTTCGATCTTTCGCCCCCCCACATACTGTCTACTTGTATAGATTCAGATAATATATATATATATATTATTGTACACAACCACCTACAGAAATTCATGAGCCATCGCCGAGGCTTCGCCGCGTCGGGAACCAGAACTGGTATCTCTGCCTGGATCCCAGCACGGTGGATGTGGATATCAACCAGATCTTATATGTCTTGTTATACATTTTTCTATATCCAACTACATGAAAACCATATCATACACATGTGTGTATATATATATATGTATATATAAAAGTATACTTAAGTGTATCTAACTATATCTATACATATGGGAATATCAGAGATAGCAGATGCCAGGTACAGGCGGTGCCATTGCAGCGCCAGCCTCCGAAACCTTAGCCACCGGCCTGGAGGAAGGCATTGAATACGAGGCCCGGGTTTCCGGTGACGGCCTTGGGGACGTCTTTTTTCATGGCCTGTTTCGGCCTGGAGCTTTACAGTTAGTGGACCGTTTTTTGACCGTTTTTTGACCCCTAATTAGAAGTGATTTTGGAGTGATTTCATGGGATTTGATGCGATGATTTTGCCCAAAATACCAGGTTTAAGTCAGTGAAAGAAACCCATCTATTGAATGATACACTGATAAACCCATAAAACAACCTGTTATAACTGGCAAAGAGCACTTTAAAATGGTGGTACCCCAAGTTCTCATCCAAGTTGTTGGTTATTATCAATCGGAAAAGCAATGGTTTGGGGTACCCATATTTTAGGACACTTCTACATATCGTATGACTATTAAATGACGATAAAACCATCGAATATCACGGGTATATACTTGAATATAATGGGATAGAACTGATGGATGTACTATCAAATCACAATACACCTTATTTATGAATGTAATTCAAGTTACCCTCTGGTAAACTAACATAACTATGGAAAATCACAATTTTTAAGGAGTAATTCAACTATAAATGGCCATTTTCAATAGCTTTTTGTATGTTTACCAGAGGGTAATAGCCAATCTTTATATAAAGTTAGACAAATTTCCCATCAAAGCGAAATAGAAGAGGGGCTTTCCCATTGGCCATGATTCCTAGAGGGTAGCAGTGAGCACAGCTTGAAGCTTGCTATGGGATGTGACTTGATTTGGCTCAAGTCTCCAGTGTCCAAGATCTCAACGCTGCACGCATTTTCCAGTGCCATGGGCTGTAACTCAGGCAAGTCCCTTGAAGCTGCTCCGAAGATGGAGACCATTGGGAACATCATCAAGGACTTGCGACAAGTGAATTATGTTTTTTTTTCTAAATGCTCTGCCTTCTGACTTAGACTTCGTTCTCACCTCAAGCTGGCTTTACTCGCGTATTTTAAGCACATCTTGTCTTAGTGTGAAGCCCATTAGGGCCATTTTTTTCTCCTGTTTCAAAGGTATTTCTTGGAAGATATGGCTATGAATCAATACCTATAGATACCATTTTTAGTGGGATGAACATCCATTTACCAGCTATTTTGGGGTTCACCAGGGGTACTATTGGTTTTGACCCACTGCCATATGGGGCCCAGTCAGTTGATGTTCAGATCAGTTGATCCCAGGACTTCCCAGTGCGCCTGCCAGCACTCCCTGGTGACGTGTTGATCAGTGGCAACCTTCCAACAGAGGTGGTGGATCAGCTTGCACCGCACTGCAAGGGCTGGCTCTACGTGAACCCCGAGTCGGACCCGCACTTCATGGGGGAGACCATCAAATCTAAGGGCAGCAGCTTGAAAGTGGTGCCCTTCAAACCTTCCAAGGACTGGCGAGATAAGAAAAAAAGCCAATTTTCCCATCGGTTTTGGCATTTTTTTTGGTAAAGAAAATCAATTTTCCCATCTGTTTTTATGTATTGTTTTTTGTGCCTTGAACTCATCACTTTCCTCTTGGATGGTGAAACTATGGTTCAGAACCCAGAAATGTGATCTTCATAGGGGAAGTATCAGGGGTAAATGCCGCACTTGGAGGATTTCAAACACCTTCACATACTGCAGATTCACTGCAGATGTTCCTTCCTCAAAGGTGATGATCCCTAGTTATAAGTTATTTTATGGTACCCATTATCTAACTTTTGTTCTATCATCATAAACCGACCCACTGCCACAGCTAGTTCATGCCCCCAACTTCGCTGATGGTTTACCACCGCCACGGCCAGGATCTGGCTCCTGCCGTCATTGACCAGCTGGTGAGCGCAGTCCAAGACCTACCCAGGCCATTGATGATTCAGTGCACCTCGGCCAATCGCGCGGGCATTGTGCTGCTGCTGTGGATGGCCAAAACCAGGCGAGCCGAGCACGGCGAGCAAAACGGCCACTGTGGCCATGCTATGATGACACGTGTGGAAGAGTTGTGGAAAAAATGCTGATAAATCGACAGAACAATCATATGTATATATACAGTGTGTATATATATATATGAAATATAATATATACAGTATGTATGTATATATATATATGTACACACACACACACATACATTCACATATATACACATATGATTCCATAATTAATCTACATGATCAGCATCTTTTGCCAGGGGCTACAGCAAGGGTTGCGTGGAGCAGTTGGTGGCAGACCTCCAGCTGGACACCGTCCGCCCGGAGGCCCTGCAGTGGCTGCAGCAGCAGCTCCCCTCGCTGACGCCCGCGGCGCCGGGAGGGCCGTTGGTGCCGGAGCGGACGGAGATCAGGCAGCTCTTCGATGAGGAGCGAACGGAACGGGAAGACGGAAGAAAGTCACAAGGGTGACAAAGGGGTTCTGCCAACTGGTTGAGATTCATTTTGCTTCTTGGAATTACCGAAACAGATGATTGGTGGAGATGGTGTTCCCCGGGCCGATGTTCTGTTGATGTGCAGCAATGAAACATAGTGGTTTGTCTAAAAATGCTGTAGACCTCAAGTTTAATAGTTGACTATCATTTTCCCATTCAAAATCCCTCATTTTTCCCCTTACAATTGCAATTAAATTGGGAAAAAAAACAACAAATTCTGGACAGACCAAAATATCATATCAAGTTGGTTATAGAACCTATTATTTTCCCAATATATATATATAATCACCATTAATAAGCATTACATCTCCATATTGTTGGCTATATACCCCCCAATTTTTTGGGTTGGTTAGAAAGCTCCAATTTCTGGACAGATTCCTGAGCATTTTTGGAGGAATCTTCCACTTTGACCTACCTGGTGAGTTGTTGTGAGACGAACGAGGCAGTTTTGATCGATCCTGTGCTGGAGCAAAAGGATCGGGATCTTCACATCCTCAAGGCGCTGGCTGCGCTGCGTCAAGCGTCAACGGCATTTTTTAACCATTGAAAGTGGGGCCCCTTCAGCATGAAACATGGGGGAAGAACACGCAAAAGATATGTCGATTTTAGGTCGTAAAGCCCATGATAAACTATCACAGCCTTTCTGAAGGGTATGGTCCGTATGGTGTAGAAGATTCGTATGGTTTTTCGAAGGGGTTGCCCTCAGTTAGTCGGCACCCATGTTTGAAAAACAAGATGAAGCCCACGAACCCGAATGCTCACACGTATGTTAATGGTACAGATGTCAAAACACATGGTTACGCAGTCACGCACAATACCTTTCTGCAATAGTTTATATTTGAACAGTCTTGTACATGTTTCCCTTGTTACCAGTCTGCAGTGTGGGGTGGAAAGTGTAGAGTGTGGAGTGTGGAGTGTGAAGTAAGGAGTGTGGAGTGTAAAGTGTGGAGTGTGGAGTGTAGAGTTGGTAAAGTGTAGAATGCGGAGTATAAAGTGTAGAGTGTGGAGTATGGAGTGTAAAGTGTAGAGTGTGGAGTGTAAAGTGTGGAGTGTAAAGTGCGGAGTGAGGAGTGTAAAGTGGAAAGCGTGGAGTGTAAAGTGTAAAGTGTGGAGTGTAGAGTGTATAGTGTAGAGTGTAAAGCGTAGAGCGTGGAGTGTAAAGTGTGGAGTGTAAAGTGTGGAGTGTGGAGTGTAAAGTGTGGAGTGTAAAGTGTGAAGTGAGGAGTGTAAAGTGGAAAGCGTGGAGTGTAAAGTGTAAAGTGTGGAGTGTAGAGTGTATAGTGTAGAGTGTAAAGCGTAGAGTGTGGAGTGTAAAGTGTGAAGTGTAAAGTGTGGAGTGTAAAGTGTGGAGTGTGGAGCGAGGAGTGTAAAGTGTGGAGTGTGGAGTGTAAAGTGTGGAGTGAGGAGTGTAAAGTGTGGAGTGTGGAGTGTAAAGTGTGAAGTGTAAAGTGTGGAGTGTGGAGCGTAAAGTGTAGAGTGTGGAGCCTGGAGTGGAAAGTGTAGAGTGTGGTGTGTAGAGTGTGGAGTGTGGAGTGTAAAGTGAGGAGTGTAAAGTGTGGATTGTGGAGTGAGGAGTGTAAAGTATAAAGTGTGGAGTGTGGAGTGCACAGTAAAGTGTGGAGTGTGGAGTGCGGAGTGTGGGGTGGAAAGTGTAGAGTGTGGAGTGTGGTGTGTAAAGTGGGGAGTGTGGAGTGTAGAGTGTGGAGTGAGGAGTGTAAAGTGTAAAGTGTGGAGTGTAAACTGTGGAGTGCGAAATGTGGAGTGGAAAGTGTAGAGTGTGGTGTGCAGAGTGTGGAGTGTAAAATGTAAAGTGTGGAGTGTAGAGTGTAAAGTGTAGAGTGTGGACTGTAGAGTGTAAAGTGCAGAGTGTAAAGTGTAGAGTGTGGAGTGTATAGTGTAAAGTGACGAGTGTAAAGTGTAGAGTGAGGAGTGTAAAGTGTGGAGTGAGGAGTGTAAAGTGTAAAGTGTGGAGTGTGGAGTGTGGAGTGGAAAGTGTGGAGTGTGAAGTGTGGAGTGTAAAGTAAGGAGTGTGTAGTGTAAAGTGTGGAGTGTAAAGTGTAGAGTGTGGAGTGTGGAGTGTAAAGTGTAGAGTGAGGAGTGAGGAGTGGAAAGTGTAGAGTGTAGTGTAAAGTGTGGAGTGTGGAGTGTAAAGTCTCAGGTGAGGAGTGAGGAGTGTAAAGTGCAAAGTGTAAAGTGTGGAGTGTAAAGTGTAGAGTGTGGGGTCTAAAGTGTAAATTGTGGAGTGTGGAGTGTAAAGGAGCTTCCCCCATAGACACGGCGACGCCACACGAAAACCAGAGACTCGAGACGAGACACGTGGGTGCAAAGAAACGAGCATTTCGTGCGAGACTTCCTCCAATTTTGACATTTTCGACACGTTATCAAACAGGTTGGAATGTCACAAAGTGCCACGCCTGCCACGCAAAACGACATGACAACCTGCTTGGAAACATTCGAAAAGGAGAGGTTTTGCGGCTTCCCCCATAGACACGGCGACGCCACAGGAAAACCAGCGACTCGAGACAAGACACGTGGATGCAGAAAAACGAGCATTTCGTACGAGACTTCCTCCAATTTTGACATTTTTGACACATTATCAAACAGGTTGGAATGTCACAAAGTGCCACGCCTGCCACGCAAAACGACATGACAACTTCCTTGGAAACCTTTGAAAAGGAGAGGTTTTGCGGCTTCCCCCATAGACACGGCGAAGCCACGGGAAAACCAGAGACTCGAGACGAGACACGTGGGAGCACCAAAACGAGCATTTCGTACGAGACTTCCGGCAATTTTCACAGTTGGCATCATGACAAAAAGACAAGTTTTGCAGCTTCCCCCATAGACACGGCGAGGCCACGGGAAAACCAGAGACGCGACACGAGACACGTGGGAGCGCCAAAACGAGCATTTCGTGCGAGACTTCCTCCAATTTTCACACTTTGTAGCTTCAAAATCGACGTTTTCCTACGAGTTTTCCTTAGAACCTGAAAATTTGCAACCTCAAAATCGATGTTTCGTGCGAGGCTTCCGTCAATTTTCAGCACATCGCACAAAATGCCACGCCTGCCACGGAATTTGCACCTTGTCGCCACTTGACGCAGCCCTGCCAATGCGATTTGCAAAAAACACGCAACACGACACGTCTAAAGTGCTGCGCCTGCCACGAAAAATGACGATGGACACGTCCAAAGTGCTGCGCCTGCCACGAAAACTGCAACACATCTTCTGAAAACGTCACAAAAGTATTGCGCCTGCCACGCAAAACGACTTTCGACACGTTCCAGAACACGTCTGAATGTCACAAAGTGCCACGCCTGCCACGCGAAACGAAGCAACGACACGTCTGAAACCTCCAAAAATGGCCACCTCTGCAAAACTTCCCATAGGCACGGCCATACGGACCTCGTACGAACGGTTGCGAACGGTTGCGGACGCGGACGCAACGTCGAGCGAACACACTCTCAACCCCCAGACCCCCAGAGTGAAACGGGAACCCTTGCTACGCATTCGGGAAAAGGAAAAAATCGTCTTGACCGACTGGAAGTACGGTGCTTTGAAAGGGAGGAGCTCAGAGCCATGGGCCGATTGTATCCAATACGGCATACACTTGGAGTCTCCGAAGGATGAAAAGTATGTGGCAAAGCACTTGAATCGCCGCTACCAATCGGAGTTCGGCTGCACCGTGACGCTGCAGGGAAGAAGGCAGAACAAGCAAAAGCGACTCTGGTTTGTGGATGCGTCGGATGCACGCAAGTTCCTCGTGGCTTCCTTGTACCCCATGAAGAAGCTGACTGACAGCAATGAGCGCTTGCAAGCGCTAGCGGCAGCGGAGAGTCACTTTGACGTCACGCTGCGTGATATGCTTCAGGGCAAACACCGCCCTACGGCGGAGCCGCCGTCCGATGAAGCGACGGGCTCAGTATCTTCTTCTCCCGCTGTTCCTGCATCGGCGTTGTCTCAGCCTGCTTCCTCAGAGGTGCCATGGTTGCGTAGCTCCGGTGCGGCTATGGGAGCTTCTCGACTGCGGCGGCAGAGGCAGAAGCGTCAAGCGCCAACATGGCCGACAAACTAGCCAACACTCCACACTTTACACTCCATACTCCACACTCTACACTTTACACTCCACACTCCGTACTTCACACTCCACACTCCACACTCTACACTTTCCACCCCACACTGCAGACTGGTAACTAGGGAAACATTTACAAGACTGTTCAAATATAAACTATTGCAGAAAGGTATTGTGACTGCATAGCCATGTGTTTTGACATCTGTACCATTAACATACGTGTGAGCATTCAGGAAAAACCAGCGACTCGAGACAAGACACGTGGATGCAGAAAAACCAGCATTTCGTACGAGACTTCCTCCACTTTTGACATTTTTGACACATTATCAAACAGGTTGGAATGTCACAAAGTGCCACGCCTGCCACGCAAAACGACATGACAACTTCCTTGGAAACCTTCGAAAAGGAGAGGTTTTGCGGCTTCCCACATAGACACGGCGACGCCACAGGAAAACCAGCGACTCGAGACGAGACACGTGGGTGCAAAAAAACGAGCATTTCGTACGAGACTTCCGGCAATTTTCAGAGTTGGCATCATGACAAAAAGACAATTTTTGCAGCTTCCCCCATAGACACGGCGAGGCCACGGGAAAACCAGAGACGCGAGACGAGACACCTGGGAGCAACAAAACGAGCATTTCGTACGAGACTTCCTCCAATTTTCACACTTTGTAGCTTCAAAATCGACGTTTTCCTACGAGTTTTCCTTAGAACCTGAAAATTTGCAACCTCAAAATCGATGTTTCGTGCGAGGCTTCCGTCAATTTTCAGCACATGTCAGAAAATGCCACGCCTGCCACGGAATTTGCACCTTGTCGCCACTTGACGCAGCCCTGCCAATGCGATTTACAAAAAACACGCAACAGGACACATCTAAAGTGCTGTGCCTGCCACGAAAAATGACGATGGACACGTCCAAAGTGCTGCGCCTGCCACGAAAACTGCAACATATCTTCTGAAAACGTCACAAAAGTATTGCGCCTGCCACGCAAAACGACTTTCGCCACGTTGCAGAACACGAATGAATGTCACGAAGTGCCACGCCTGCCACGCGAAACGAAGCAACGACACGTCTGAAAACTCCAAAAATGACCACCTCTGCAGAACTTCCCATAGGCACGGCCATATGGACCTACTGCGGACGGTTGCGAACGGCTGCGAACGGTTGCGGACGGTTCGGCAACGTCGAGCGAACACACCCTCAACCCCCAGACCCCCAGAGTGAAACGGGAACCCTTGCTACGCATTCGGGAAAAAAGTGCGCAAAAGGTGCAGAACTCCAAAAAGAGATCACACCAAAGCCAAATCCAATTTGAAACTCTCGAACAACAGGCCTTGGAGAATGGTATTAATAGCTAGAGATTCATCCTGTTATATTGATTCTATTGTTTATGATTAATGTTGGTATTATCAAGCCTTACTATTCTGACCGGAAAATGGCTGCTGTTTGAGGGTCCACGTTTGGTTTCGATCTCAAGGGGAAACAGGTGGGTTTGTTGTCTTCCCAACAAATGTACCTCTATCGATTTACCATCACCATAGATCTCCCAAGATTAAGTTCAGCGAAAGCAGAAGGATATTCAACCAGCTTTACCTAAAATTATCAAACAAGACTGCTAAAATTATCCCATGATATATATATATATACATACACATTGTTTTACCAGATCCAAATCTTCCGGTTTCGTTTTTTTTCACTTTGTCCAAGAATCAACAAAAAGAACTGCAACATCTCCCATTCCCAATCTCTAATCTCCTTAAATCTTCCGATGTGTTCCATGGTTTTTCCCCATTTTTCCCATGGTTAAACCGCAGGACTTGGGCCTCACCTTGCGGTTTGTGCTCAACACCCACTGCCACGCGGATCACATCACCTCTGGCGGTGCCATCCGCCAGAGGCTGCCGGTCCAAACGGTGATCTCCGAGGCATCGGGGGCCAAGGCGGATCGACATTTGCAGCATGGGGAGATCATCGAGGTTGGCCAACTGCGATTGGATGCTGGGAAGTTTTTCATGGGAAAACATGTTTTTTTTTTTTTAATGGAGAAAAGGTCTGTGTTGGCCATGGAAAATGCATGAAAATGCCTTGAGTGATTTTGGGATCATTTTTTGGTACCACCGAAAAAACCATAGTTATTGATAGATATATCACCTATATGTAGTTGTTTTTTCCCACCGATAAACAGATTTTTTGTGAGCCGAGGAAGCGCGGGCGACTCCAGGACATACCGATGGCTGCATGACCTTCGTGTTGAAGACCAGAAACGCCACCTTCGCTTTCACGGGTGATACCCTTTTGATTAGAGGCTGTGGTCGTACTGACTTCCAGCAGGGCAACCTGGATCTTCTTGGTGAATGGACGTTCTTTTTTTTAAATCTTCAGTGGTGAATGCGCTTGTTATGGATCTATATTTGGCCGGATGTTGTGCAGCGACAATGAAAGCACCATTCCCACAAATCATGATGAATACTGGGGTTGATGATTTTTTTCCGATCTGCCATTTTCTTCATAAGATATATCTTCCCCAATATCTGAATCTCAGCCAGGATCCTATGAGGTGAAAGAGAAGCCAACAACTAGCGAACATCAGTGGAAATCCCATGAAAGCCTTGGAATTTCCCCCCATTTTTCTTAGTGAAAACCCCATTTTCATGGGATTACCTTAGTTAAATTAGTGAAAACCCTAGGAAACCCTAGGAAAACCTTAGTTAAATCAGTGAAATTTTCATTTTCCCAGGCAATGCCCGGCTTCTCTATGAAAACGTCCACGCACAGATCTTCTCCCTGCCCGGTGACACCGTGGTGTGCCCGGGCCACGACTACAAGGACCGCTGCGTGTCGACGGTGGAGGAGGAACGACGCTTCAATCCGCGGCTCACGAAGTCCAAGGAGGAGATCTTTGGTTGAAATCAAGGGGATATACCATATATAAATATATAATATGGTAATAGTAATAAATATATATATGGTAATAATATGGTTTTCCAATATATAACTTATAATAAATAATATTATTTATATGATTTTCCCTATATATATACATATGGTGATAATATGGTTTTCCTATAGTTTTCCGGTAGTTTTCCTGTGGTTAATAGTGGTTCAATGGTGGTGAATATAGTGGTTTATAGTGGTTACTCATGACAATCAATAATTATTTAAGTTGTGATGAATGGAGATTTACCCTCTGGTACACATACAAAAAGATATTGAAAATGGCCATTGATTTACCCAGCTATAAAATGGTGATGTTCCACAATTATGTTCGTTTACCAGAGGGTATATATATATAATAATAAATAATAGTATTGATTAATAATAGTAATAGTAACCAATATGTATATATATATATACACACTTGTACAATGCACAATATTCATATATTTGTATATATATAGTAATATATATATATGGATATGTATAAGTGGGATGCTATAATGGAATATACATATGGGATGTATATTACTACAAATAGTATAGATGGTATTTTCTTGAAATAGTGGGCATCTCCAGGAATATTTTCATAGGATATTGTAGCAAGAATAGGGTGATGGGGATATTTCAAGGGATATTTCAAGGGATGAAGTAGTTCCATGAAATACGATGGTTTTCGGAACAGGATTCCCAGTTGATGACTTATGATACCCTCTGGTTATGTCAAATAGCTATTGAAAATGGCCCGTTTATAGTGGATTTTCCCATTGAACATGGTGGATCTTTCCATAGTTATGTAAACGTTTACCAGAGGGTAATCAATGATCATCCCTCATATATCAAGGGCCAATTTTTATCAAGGGTAGTCTAAGCCCTGAATAGATGTCGCCATTTTCACCGGGGTTTGGGTCACTGCCAACTGGAACTTCTCCAGAAAATGGGGGATGATGATCCCGACATGAGATGTTCGACAGCATTTGGCTTTGGCGTAAAACCAGCCCCAAAACATCAATTTTCAATGGGAACATAATGATACACCATTGGATTTAGGAGTATTCCTATTATCAGACACAGTCATTTCAGGAAAGTTGTTTTGTAGTTGTTTTTTTGGTTGCTAGTACTTAACTAATCGTTTTTCCTGGTGTTTGCGAAACGCTGGCTTCAAGGTTTGTGCAGATCATGGATAACTTGAAGCTGCCGAATCCCAAGAAGATCGACGTAGCGGTCCCCGGCAACATGATGTGTGGAGTGCAGGATGATCCATATGATCCTCTTGCCATCTGATGCTTCAGATAGCGCCCGGCAAGGCGTCTGGGCATTGGAAGTGACCTGAAATATCCATTCTGGGCTACTGAAAAAAGTTGAAACATGGTCCCGAAAAATCAGAAAAACACAAGCAAAACGTGGTCACTTTCAATGAACTGCTAGGTAAAAAGAACTTTCCGAATGGAAGCAGTGTTTTTCCGTGTCATACCATTCCGCCTTCACTCCAGCGTAGTGAGAGGCGCTGGTTGATGCTGAAAGGTCTTGGGAGTGGGCAAATTGCTCCAATTTCAGGGTGTCATGGATTTAAAACCTTCACTCCAGCGAAGTGACAGGTAAGGATTGCGATCAAACGGAGGCGATGTTCTTAGTTCATCGTTTCACACGCGACAACCACCTTTGCTTTGGCCAAAAATAGGGTTTCCTTTACAATCGCGGATCCCCAAAACCATTGGTTTCAATACTAAAATGGTTTAATGTCTTTGATTATTTGGGGTATCACACACACACATATATATATATACATATATATATATATATACGTGTATATATATATATATACGTATATATATACATATATATATACATATATATATATATACATATATATATATACGTATATATATATATTTATGATATATGCTGGTTGGTGGTTTGGAACATTTTTTATTTTTCCATATATTGGGAATAATCATCCCAACTGACGTTCATATTTTTCAGAGGGGTTGAAACCACCAACCATATATATATATATGTATGATATATGATATATCCCCTATGACTTTTCGGAAATCTCCAAATAGATCATTTTCAGTGCAGTGCCACACACGTGACTGCAGTTGCAGATTGGAATCCACCCTGGGATGATGCGGGACATCAAGCGTTGTAGCGTTTGAGCTCAAAATACCTTTTGCTAGATTGCTATATATATATATATATCTATACATATATATGTATACATACATATGTATATATGTATATATTATACATATGTATATATATATATATAAATATATATATATATTGTGCAGAGGGTTAGCCATTTTGACATCCTTTCCCTTTTTCAGCTCACAAATTGGATCCATGGCAATCCTCGAGGCCATGGTGTCCTTCTTCATCAACAACCGATGGTGTTGTGAGTCGGCCATCAGCAAGCCCGCGTGCATAGGCGATCCACGTCCCATGGATCCATTTGGGGAGCTGAAACTTGGGGTAACTTGGCCTTTTTGTCCCCATAAAAAGGTAGCCAGTGTGGAGCTTCAGCCTGTCGTATCATGAGGTATTTGGATGAGAAGGATGCCAGAACAGGGGTGAAGATTCGAAGATACAGAGCTTTAGCACAAGACTTCACATTGCCGCGTTGGCTTATCAGAGGGCAATCACTGGCTCTAAGCTCGCTTTTCTTTGTGCTGGCAGTAGGGCGCCGCATTTCTTATGCTTAATCACACACACACACACGTATAAATATGTATATATATATATATGTATATAAATATGTATCTATGTACAATGTATGTGTGTACCCTCTGGTAATTTAACATAGCTATGGAAAATCACCATTTTTTACGGGTAAATCCACTATAAATGGCCATTTTCAATAGCTATGTTAGTTTACCAGAGGGTATATATACATATACATTATATTCTAGACATGGATTGCCATTTCATGAGTATCCTCGGCCTGCCAGGTGAGCTGAAATTGCCTGCGATTCCGCCACAGCCAAAGGATGGGACGCTGCCGAAAAAAACCGAAATTCTCATGTTCCAAGGATTCCAAAGGGTGAGGAATTTGAGAATTGCCATAGTTATGGGGAATATATGTATATGTATATGTATATGTATATGTATATGTATATGTATATGTATATATATATATATGTATATATATATATATGTACACATATATATATATATATGCATATATATATATGTACATACATATATGTATACATATACATATATATATATATATACATATATATATATATGTATTTCAATTTACGCGGGGTTAGAACCTCATGGTTATACCCATAAACATGTATAAAACTCACGCCTGCACGCACCGCGACGATACTTCTTGGCTTGGTTTAAAGTTTCAAGGCCTTGAGCGGGGATATGGAATGAGGGCTTTGGTGCAACCCTCAGAATGCAGGGTTAAGAGTTTTTTTCTTGTAAATCATGTGTTGGTTGGTGGTCTCAAAATACAGTGGATGAATGATGAAAGAAATCCCGCACCAATTGGTAGATTGTTTATCGAATTATAATCCCATTCTTTACGTTCTTTCATAGGAATCCCAATAGTTGCCAATTAGTGAGTGCAGGATGGCTTGTTCATGCACAGTATGTTGAGATGTCCATTATATTGCCATTGTATTTCCGTGATTATAAATTTGCCATGATCATAGATAATCTTTCCATTATATTCCCGTTATATTCTCATTATATTCCCGCTATATTTCAAATATATTCCCATTATATTTCCAATATATGCCCATTATTTAGAATCATTCTTCCCCGCATGTTGGGATGTCCATCTTCCTAATACCAGACATTTGGGATGACTTCCTCGAGGAGCCTCGGCTCTATGTGATGGACGTGAGCCAAGGTGCGGATTCTCAAATCCTGAAATGGGTTTGGCCTGGTTGGCGTCCTGAAAGGTTTCCATAAGGCATAGCCAAAAATAGAAGGAACCATCTGCCATAAATGAAGGTTTTGACAGGAAAATCATAGGAAATATGGGATAATCAACTATCAATGGAGGTTTCAGTTGGATTAAATAGCTAAGAAAGTGGATGTGAACTTAAACATGGCCTGGATTTTTTTCCACACTGGATGGTTGTTGGAAAGACAAAAAAGCAGGGAGTGACTTTTGCTGGCTTCCGCAGAATGATCCTGTGGGGGTTAGACACCAGTGGGTCCTGGAAGACGGTCAAAAAGACAAAAAGAGCAAGTCCTGAACGGGCTGATTGGAGATATGTCATAGACAATCCATGACAATCCATATCATTGCAGTGATCCATTTAAATCCATTGTCCTGGATATAGCCACTATATGCCACTATGATATACTATATATATATTGCAGTGATCCATTTCTATAGCCACTATGGCAAGAAATCCCAATTTTCATGATCCCTGTCGGATTTATGGATCCAGATCTACTCAGCAAACCAGCCGGCTTGCAACGAGCCGGCTCCCGGAGGCATCATGAGAGTGAGATGGCAGTACTTTACTTGCGTGCGCCTAAAACGACCGGCATTCGCTTCGTTTTCAAAACGACGGAAGACCCTGTTCTTTGTCAAAGTTTCATGGTTTTGTCCCGTGAATGATGATCGAATCTACACTCTGGTAAGCTGAGATACAAGTGGAAAACCAATGTTTCAATGTGAACGCTCATCTGAGAGTGGTAGATGGTCCACTCCCACCTTACCCGGTTAATGTGATCCAGTCCAATCATAAACCTCCAATTTTGATGCTTCTTGCACGACATTTCTCGCAAAATATGGGGGTTACTATTAGGTCTGACACATTACCTGCAAAATGACTAATATTCTCCGGACGTCTTCTCCAAAAGCTTTCCCACCGTCCTCAGGCATTTAGAATACCCCTGTTGCTTGATTATTATAGAGAGTTATGAATCTATCATAACCTACCTGCTGTATTGGAGATAATGTAGATAATCATAGCGTATTATGTCCTTACTGTTTCCCATTTACTTTACTGTAACCCCTAAGTTGAGATAGAACAGGTACTTCAATCATCACCGTTTCAGTGCGAATAACATTTCTATCTCAACTGAAACGTTATTTTCCATACCTACAGGGTGGTGCTCCCCAATTACAAGTTGGTTTATAACCCCCATCAACTCTATATATATATATACACACATAGGAGGGCTATTCCTTTTGGGAATTGTTTCTTTTTACGTTTTTTTCTTTTTTTTTTTTTTCCGGACCCATATATCTAATTCTATATATGTATATATCTAATTATATATATATATAGATATCTCTCTCTCTCTATATATATATAAATGATTATTATACATATCTACCCCATCAACTATATATATATATATATGTGTATGCTGATATATATCTCCATCCCTTGCGTCAGGTACCTCCGCTTTTGGGCGCCTTGGTGCGTTTCCGCGCCGTGGGAGCACGGAAGTGGCTCTTTGCACGGCTGGCCATTTTTGGGCCGTTCGGATCCTTTTCGTTGCGGCTGGCCTTGATGGCCTAAAACTTGGGAATACTGGGGATATAATGATGTGATATAGTTGATGTAGTTGATGTAGTTGATATAGTTGATGTAGTTGATGTAGTTGATATAGTTGATGTAGTTGATGTAGTTGATGTAGTTGATGTAGTTGATATAGTTGATGTAGTTGATGTAGTTGATGTAGTTGATATAGTTGATGTAGTTGATGTAGTTGATGTAGTTGATGTAGTTGATGTAGTTGATGTAGTTGATGTAGTTGATATAGTTGATGTAGTTGATGTAGTTGATGTAGTTGATGTAGTTGATGTAGTTGATATAGTTGATGTAGTTGATGTAGTTGATGTAGTTGATGTAGTTGATGTAGTTGATGTAGTTGATGTAGTTGATATAGTTGATGTAGTTGATGTAGTTGATGTAGTTGATGTAGTTGATGTAGTTGATGTAGTTGATGTAGTTGATGTAGTTGATATAGTTGATGTAGTTGATGTAGTTGATGTAGTTGATGTAGTTGATGTAGTTGTAGTTGATGTAGTTGATGTAGTTGATGTAGTTGATGTAGTTGATGTAGTTGATGTAGTTTGTAGTTGTAGTTGATGTAGTTGATGTAGTTGATGTAGTTGATGTAGTTGATGTAGTTGATGTAGTTGATGTAGTTGATGTAGTTGATGTAGTTGATGTAGTTGATATAGTTGATGTAGTTGATGTAGTTGATGTAGTTGATGTAGTTGATGTAGTTGATATAGTTGATGTAGTTGATGTAGTTGATGTAGTTGATGTAGTTGATGTAGTTGATGTAGTTGAGAGGTTATCCTTTGGTAATCAAATGTGGCTAACTGGGAAATTCACAAAAAAGCGGTTTGAATGGGAATATCATCTAAAAAGGGGGAACTTCCCTTTGCCATGAGTGATTACCGGAGGGGAATGTTTTTTTGTTTACCCTCTGGTAATTTAGCAGTTAGCTATGGAAAATGGCCCATTTATAGATGATTTACCTTTAAGCAATGTTCCATAGCTATGTTAAATTGCCGGAGGGTAGCCGCTAATTAGGTTTAGATGGGTAAACACCACTTATATCACACTATAAACCAGCAAGAATTCAATGCCGCAAAGCGCCAACTGGGGATTGTTGATCATGATATGGAGGTTTCCTAAATAGGGGTACCCCCAGTCATGATCCATTGAATAGTTGGATTGTCTATTATAAACAATCCAGCTATTGGGGTACCCCCATTCGAATGGAAGCCCCCCAATCAAACCCCACGAATCCCTTCCCTCTTCGCGGCCCGTTTGCATTAAGCTGTAGAAGCCCTGGTCATGGCCGTATGGCCATAGCCAAATGGGGGACATAGAACCATGGTTGAAAAATCTTCTCAACTTCTCCATCATATGACACCAGAATGTTTGATGGTTTAGTCAATGGATAGGAAAAACGGGAAAAATTGCAGGAAAACCCCCATATTTACTGGTAAAAACCATGGAAAACCCCATATTTCATGGTAAAAACCATGGTTTCCTATACAAGTTCCCTTAAAGCAATCCATTTTTTTTTCGCCGGTGAAACCCACGGTTTTCTTCGGGGCATAAGCTTCATCCTTCGTGCCAGGCGCACCCCAGCAGCGGGGCTCTGATTGATGTCTCTCCAGAAAAGGCCGACGGGCTTTCTTCGGGGCAGTTGACGTTTCCACAAAAACAGGGTGGTATTAATGGTGGTTTAATGGTGGTTTTCCATGAGATTTAACCAACAAAAATTGTGATTTGGGTATGGATCAATACCTATGAAAATAGCCATTTTTAATGGGATGAATTCATCCATTTTAACCCAGCTATTTTGATGTGAACAAAAAAGGGGTACTATTGGTTTTGACACACTGCCATTTCATGGAATTTCCATGAAATTCAGCGGGATTTTGTGACATTTCGTGAAATTGGGATGGAGATATAACCAACTGTCAATGATAGCCCAGTAAATGATGGCTTATGATGGTTAATGGGGCTATTTCAAGGGGATATTTCAAGGGAATATCATTGAACTAAACAAGGATTTAACCATGATTCGTCCTTTGGTGCCATGGCTGGAAATCCCGAAACATCACTGATGGTGCCGGAGTTGAAGTATGGTGAGGCACGGTGGCACGTCTTTCCTGATTTCTGTTGGGGCTTTGAAGTTCTAAGTTCTACAGTAAGCCCTACCCTCTGGTAAATTAACATAACTATGGAAAATCATCATTTTTGATAGGTAAATCATCTATTTTCAGGGCAGATTTAATCAGTAGCTACATTGGTTTACATACTTTTGGAATATCATGCCCTTGATTTTCTTCTTCGTATTTTCCCACTGACGTTTTCACCTCCGCAGGAGCCAGAACTCATCCCCTATCCGCAGAGCGATGTGAATGTGTGTGCAGCCTAAACACAACTTGAGAGCTTCTCCAGTTCCAAGACAACGTGGAGGTTAACCACCGTAGTATATATATATAACATGTTAATATAGTTGATACATATATATATATGTATATACACAGATCATATATATATAATATGCTGGTTTATGTGTTTCTATAATCTCTATGGCTCTATGAGATCTGGGTGAATTCTACAGCCACCTCAACGAGGGCCCCAAAATCATAGCCCATCTACTGTGGATGGTTGCGAAATCCTGCACCACCAAAAAGATGGTTGAAACCCTATAAAAAAATAATGGGATGTTTACCACCTGGTGCAGGATGATCCAAATATGGCGCATCAACTAGCTCAGGAGTCCATTGCATCAATGGTAGCCGTGGTTTTCGGGTATAGTTTGGAATCAAATCAGGTTTCACCGTAGATTATTTTCCCACTAAAACCCTTGATTGATGGGGAATTTTCCTCATTTTCCCATATTGGATGACACCGGTAGCAATGCAAAATAGCACGCCGCCTGGCCAGCAAAAGCTGAGGCGAGGGCTTCCCCTCGGCATTCGCTTCGAAGCCTGTGTGGCCTTCAGGCTAGTTTCAAGAATTGGTTGAAGACAACATCTACTGCTGATGGGCAATTGAGTTAGTTAACTAGTTGGTAAATGGATTATTTCATGGGGATTTAGTTTTTTGTTTCCCCAGTTACTAACCAGGAATCGCTAATCCTATAGCCTATCTAAGTACTGCTGATCTCCCTGATGTTTTTGAATGCTAAAGCTCTAAAGCCCTGGCAAAGGCCCTGGTTTCTTGTAGATCTTGCCTTATCGACCTAGTGAATGGTGATCTTTGCTGCTGGGGTTGAAATGCCTCAGTTGCCACCTGCAAAACCGCATGGATTTGCTCACAGCAGTTAAGAAGTGATGAAACATTTGAATGTCATTAAATATAGCCAGATTCCCACTTGAAATTTTCAACATTTCATGATCAGATGGATATTTGATATTTCCTTCGATCTTTCCCCTCTTTTTTTCTGTCAAAAATACGGAAGTGCAGCGATTTCAATAGCCATAGCCATGTCCTTCCGTTGGCTCCTGCCGTGGGCCCTTGGCTCCCTTGGCTCCGCCGCGTCGTCTCCGCCGTCGCTGGTGGTGGCCTTCCAGGGCCGCGCGGATGCCGAGGCGTCGGCCTACGACGAGCTGCTAGCAGCGCTGCAGCGCGAAGGAGAAGAGCGGAAGGTGGAGATCTTCTATCCGAAGAAAGGGACTTTTCAGGAGATGGAACCGGAGGCCAGTACTCATGACCCATTATTATTACTATTGTCATTATTGTTATATTTATTTATTATATTTATTGTATTTGATATATTTCTTATCTTTAATATTTATTTTTATATTTATATTTATAATAATAATTATTATTGAACAGCCTTCGGCATTCCGCCGGCCCTCTCGCCTTTGGCCTACGGGCCCAAAGCAGGGTTGTGTAAAGCTGGTTGGTGTAAAAGGTTGGTTTGATGATGATGAGGATGAGGATGAGGCTGATGATGATTGGGAGGGGGAGGAGGAGGATAATGACAATGACCACCGAGACGAGGATGATGTGATGATGTAAATAAGGTGAGTGCTAGTTCGCTTGAGAAAAGAGACGAGACGAGAGTAGACCAGAGGAAACTAGACTAGACTAGGGTTTACCGGTTTACCCTTGTATTCAATGATAAACAGTATTGTTTTTCACATATTTTTTTAAATAAGAAACCATGAACATTTCTTCCGATTGGTCAAAAACCTAGTTTCCTTCCATAGGTTTTACGAGCAATCCACCAAAGAAATAGTTTCGAATGATAACCTCGGGTTTTCCTACAGGATGGGCACCCCCAGTTATGTTTGTTGGTTTATAACCCCATCTAAATATAGCTACTTGCGTATCATACACCAACTTGTTATGAAATAGTGATAAACCCCTAGTTGGTTCATAAACCCTATCTAATATGATAGTTATCATACACCAACTTGTTATTATAACCATATATATAGTGTAATATTTGTCACTGAACGCGATTCACCTCACTTTTTCCCCATCCTGACGATCTTTTCTTTCCAAAGGTCCAGGAGTTGATGGCCCAGCACCCGGGTGCCTTTTTGGTCTACATGGGCCACGGCATGGGCACAACCGGCGGTGCTTCGGCGGCACAGCACTATGCGGCAACGGCCACGGCTGCGAAGGCGCGGCTGGTGTTGCTGGCGGGATTTCTGGAACGCGTGTGGAGACCGGAAACTTGGTGGATAAACCTGGTGGATGCGTTTCTTTTTTGATACCCTCTGGTTATTTAACATAGCCATGGTATAGATGGCCCATTTATAGAGTTTTACCTATTAAAAATGGTGATTTTCCATGGCTATGTTAAATAACCAGATGGTAATTGTGTTTTAAAAATAAGAGGTAAACCCAATGCCATAGTGAGATATACATGGATATAGCATTGAAGTATCAGATTATCATTATGAGAGACCTGTAGTAAACTAACCCCACTTCGTGTTTCTGAAATTGAGTAATGTCAAGCCTGGATTCGACTAAACCATGGTTTATTAATTTGGGGGGTATTCCCTAAATAATGATAATCTGATACTTAAATGGGGCTGATTTTTTGTTTGGGTCAATTGCGTCAAAAAAAGAGGTAAACCCAAACATAGTGGGATATAAACTATGGATATTGATGGGGTAGTATGGGTTCAAAGATGGATCATTATGGGATACCTGTAACTTTCTGTAACAAACTAACCCCAATTGGTGTGTTTACTATGGGATAATGATTACTATGACACCCAGCCATCGTTAGTTCATGGGATGGGTTCATGACATTGGCTTTACCACACTATTAAAGATGAATTTGATATTTGGATGTGGGTCAAAATGGAAGACCTAGGGGACCACAGATGTTAGTCTAGTTTAGTATTAACCATCCATAATTTTGGGGTACCTAATTTTGACCCATACCCATTTATTGAGTGTTGTAAATTGACATGTTTGATGAGGTTAAGGTAGTGATTTGTGGCATGGGATGTTCATGATCCTTGTTTTTGTGATTCTTTTTTGGTAAATTCACAGTGGACAGATGTTTACCGTATTTTTTGGAACATCCTTGTGATAAGATGCAGAGTTTTTTGTTCGTGATGGTAAATTTGTATATCGCATCTGTTTCTCTTGACGATGTTTTTGGGTATGGGATGTTGATTGTGTTTTTTGGTTACATTATGGATAAATTACTGGACATATTATCTATAATAATGCTTTTAACATACAGTTTCCACTTGATTGGGAGATGCATATTATTTCTCTCAAGTTATGGTCGTTTTTATAGAATGTATAAACACGTCTTCTTTTTCAAGTAACGGCCAATCCTTTTCATGGGATTCTTTCTGGCCGTTTTTTTCTGGGCAATCCGTCCCAAGGACATTGCGGCGTGCATGAAGACTTGGTCAGTACAGCCAACTCTGAAGTGTCCCAAGGGACTGTGTCCAGGTGGATATTTGAAGGATGGTGTGCACAACTGTTCGGGTCCTACCATTCCCAGTCCGAGCTATCCTGGTCCGCCAAGTTTGAGCATCGGGGGTGAGTTGGATGGACTTGTGAGGATGTCGAGGATGGCTGAAGCCTGGTATACCCAGCAAGCAACGCAGCATAAGGTGAAGCTGGTTCTGGGTAGCCTGGTGCTTGACAAGCTTCATCTCCGTGAATCCACCGAAAGATAAGGGAATCAAAGTGGGAACAGGGAATATACCCTCCGGTAAACATACAAAAAGCTATAGAAAATGGCCATAGAAATAGTTGATTTACCTATGAAGCATGGTGATTTTCCACAGCTATGTTAGTTTGCCAGAGGGTATATCATATATATTTGTCACATTAGGGAAATTCTTGGGAATATATTTTTGTCAAATGCACCAGAATATGGGGGAAGTCTTCACTCTTGGGAGTCTCAAAAAGATAGAAAAGGGAAATCTTACCAAAAAATAGCGGTGAGTTGAACCTTTTCTATATATTTTTGGGCTACTCTATATACATATATATCTATATATCTAATACACTATAATACAATATAATATAATATAACATAATATGATATAATATAATATTATATAATATAATATCATGCAATTTATATAATATAGTAAGATATAATATAACATAAACATAATCTACTATATAATATAAGTATAATATAATATTGTATAATTTAATGGAATGCAATATAATATTTAATATAATATAATATATAATACAATATATAATATAGTAAATAATATAATTCATAATATAGTATGTGATATAATATGTAAAATACTATATAATACAATATATAATTCAATATAAACTATCATATAATATAATATAATATAATAGATTATAATATAGTATAATATTTAATATAACATTCCATATATAAAATTATGATATATCATACTGGTACAAGATATTATATTATATGATAGATATTCTAAAATAAAATATATGATAGATAAATTATAATATATAATATATAATATATAATGTATAATATATAATATACAATATATCATATATAATCTATAATATATGATATATAATATATGATATATAATATGATATGATATGATATTTATCAAGGATTCTTTCAAAGGGCCATCTGCAAATCTGCAAATCCAAGGTATGAGCCATTCCGATTTGATGTCTTCAATCCCGAGCTCTGTCGCAGCACAGGATTTGCCCAGTGAATGTGGCGCCAGTGACGCGAGAACTCAGGCGAGAACTCGGGGCCGCGGTTGGGCGGTTGGGTCAACGGTGGAGAGACCTGGTAGCCCGAGGTACCCCTGGTATTTTCTCATTCCGTTGGATCGGATCATCACATTTTTTTTCAAAAATTGCAAGAAAATTTTAGGGTATATGGGTCATGGTTCAACCAGTATCTACTAGTTGGTGCTTTCAGATTCTTTAGATTTTGAAGCGTAGAAATGATGATCCACACCGACTCATCTTCCTTTTTTATTCAGGAGGGTGGTGAAAAAACACCAAGCAGATGTCCGTTTTCCCATTTGTCGATTTTCCAAGTTTCCATTTATCGATTTCCATCTAACTATAGCCACAATCACCATACTTAATCTAGTTAGAAACCAATCTAGCTGTCAAATCAACCCTGGGTTTTCATAGCCCAGACCGTTGATCTAACTGGGCCCATGATGTCACGTCGCGGCAACGCCAGGTATCCAAGCTCATCCTGGATTTCTTGCTGGCGGAGTCCTTGGAGATCTCTCCGGAGGCAGAAATCTTTGGGCCCTTTGTGGAGATGTTCGCCAAGGAGGTGGGAAAACATGGGAAACATAACTTCTACGGAGCAAAAAAAACAAGTTTTGAGTGGGATTTGTACTGATTTTTTGTTGGTGAAACCTTCATTTTTTGTAGAGTAAATCAGATATGTTTCTCGTTTTTGAATCATCATTTACGGACAACAGTCTATTTTGGCTCCTAACAACTCCATTTTTTCAGCTTAAATCATGTTTTTTTTTTTGCAAATCATTTTTCATCATGTTCTGAAACCCTTTTTCAGTTTTTTTTCCCAATTGTTGTCACATCTTTGAAGGATGTTTCACCATTAAAGCTGATTTTCTTCGCACTTTTTCACAAATCTGTCGCCAATATATATTTTTTGAAAACCACTTTCAATGATGTTTTCCATGATTTTCTCCAAATTTTTGCTGGGTTTTGAACTTTTCATGGACCAAAAAAGGAAGGCAGTTGGTGGTGGACCTCCTACAGCGATGAGCAGGGCTCCAGCAGCTGGGCTGCCAACGCCCAGCGGCGCCTCGTGGATCCCTTGCCATGCAGTGGAGCCAGTGGAGCGTGGCACGTGGAGAACGAGTTCCACCTGTTGAGTGACGAAGGGTTGCTGAGAGAACCATGGGAAAACCATGGGAAAACCAGGGGAAAACCATAGGAAAATGGAGGTTTACCCGGCCTGGTAGTGACTGTTACATAGCTAGCTGGAAAATGGTGATTTAGTTCGTGGATTTACCCATTGAAAATGATGGATCTTTCCATGGTTACTGTATGTTAGTTTACCAGAGGGTAGCCCCATGGGGCCATCATGGGGCCCCATCGAAATATAGTTATTTGATGTGATTTACTGTAAGCGTATCATACACCAACTTGTTATGAAATTGTTATTTGCACCAACTTAGCGATTCTGAACTGGGGCCCCATCCTGTTTTTTTTTTAAATGTTGGATTGTTTTTTGATGAACCAAAATGGTTTTCTGTGATTTGTATGGTTGATTGATTCTGATGACATTTTGCTTGAGGGAATGTTTGATGGGAAAGAAGACGTATTTGGTAAAACACCATCATTATTGTGAAGGACGAGGAACTTTCGATGGATATACATACATACATACATACATACATACATACATACATACATACATACATACATACATACATACATACATACATACATACATACATACATAATACATACATACATACATACATACATACATACATACATACATACATACATACATACATACATACATACATACATACATACATACATACATACATACATACATACATACATATATACATACATACATATACATACATACATATATATATATACATACATATATATATATATACATACATACATACATACATACATACATACATACATACATACATACATACATATATATATATAATATATGAGTGTTTTTAGTCATTAGTCAAAATTTGTGAGATGTGTCAAGCTTGGGATGGATTCTTTATGAATTTGATGGGACTGTTTTTATGGGACAGTCTTATGGGACAGTTCAGCGATAATTCATCAGATAATTTCTATGGATGCGTGGGATAGTGATTTTGATGGATTTTTGATGGGACATTTTGTGTTTAATGAAAGAAGATACATGTTTTTATTGACGTCTACAGCTTTATTGACTTATTGACTTATTGATTGTTTTTAGATGTTTTTAGTGAGTCACTCTTGCTTTTAGGATAGCTTGGAATGTGGGATTCTTGATGGTTGAGGGATTTTGAGTATGTTTTTATGGGTGGTGTTTGTTTTTAAGTAATATATGGGACAGTTTATGGATGTTTTGGGATGGAAGGACTGCTAGTGGTACTACTGTTACTATCATTTTCTAGATGTGTCTGTACCATCCCTTTCACTTGTTTGTCTTTCACTCGGCACAAGATGTCACCGATGTCAACTGCAGTTGGTTTAGAACTCCAAGATATATCGAAGTAGTTACAGTACTATAGTTCACCAACTTAGCTAACTATGGGGCACTATGGGGCACTATGGGGCACTATGGGGCACCATGTCAACCACCTCAGGTTGATCCCGCCCTACTACCGTCCCAAGCACCGGCCCAACCTCACCAAAGACGAGTCCGGCGGTTTTCTGCGGAGCCTCACCGTGGCGCAGCTGCGCTATGTGGAGCTCTCCGTGCTGCAGGTGGCGGCAGGATTGAACGGCTGGGCCGTGATCAAGGAGGAAAAGGTGCCATGGGGTCTGTATAGATGGGCGTTTTTTGATGGGTATGATGACCTTCAGAAATACCTTCTTTCAATGGCCATTTTTTATGGGGAAAATGATGACTAGTCTGACAAAAACTACCACATTTGATTCAGGATTTCTTTTTTTTGTTGCATCAATTTGTGGCTTGATCTTCATGGCTTATGACTTCGAGACGATCATGGGACATGCAACGCATCCACTGGAAATCCAAGATTTCATCGAAAGGAAATGCTTCGCCATCCACAACGAGACGTGGAAAACGCGCATATCACGAATTTCTTTTCAGGGGATATGATTGGTTGATTGTTGGCCATGAAAACAAGTCAGAAGTGGTTGGTGATTTACCCTCCTGAAAGCCAAGATTGGTGATTTACCCTCCTGAAAGCCAAGATGGAGCCCCAAAAATGGGGTCTGGAAGATGAATTTTGTATTGGACTCCCTTTTTTCTTGGTGCCACATTAGTCTCCAGGACCAACAAAATAATGTGATTTGGTAAAGACATGAACCACCCCAGTAAGAAAAAATAGCACTTAATCTGATAAATATTGGGAAGGCAATGGCTGCTTTGTGTGGGATGATTTTTTGGGCTGCAGTTGCCTGCAGTGTGTTCAGCCATATGGGTGTATCTGAAGATGGTGCAAGTTTGATAGAGAACATTCTGATTGGCCAGTGGATTTAGGGGCAACCGTGAATTTTGAGACAAACCCTAATATAGTGAGAGGGAAGGTGAAGAAATTGGCGGTGAAGTATACAAGTATCGTTTATTAGTCATTACACGTTTCATTATACTTATTATCATTTTTCTTAAACAATAGTATCAATCGTATCATGATCAATTATGATCAATTGATATAATAATAGTATTATCATTACAACATTGCTATGAATTAACCAATGGCATATACCCTCTGGTTATTTAACATAGCCATGGAAAATGGCCCATTTATAGATGGTTTACCTGGGTTTACTTATTAAAAATGGTGATTTTCCATGGCTATGTTAAATAACCAGAGGGTAATCATTATAGCTCAGCTTATCACAGTATTACCCTGATTTTTTCCAGACGCGCTCTGATCAACCCTCTTTGAGGCAGGCGTGTTGGCCGATCGCAAGATGGCTATCAAGGACTGAATCCCCAGGTTGACCGAAGGTCCCAAATCCCCAGTATTTTCCCGGTGAAATGTGCAAACACCCCAGCATTTTCCATGGGAAAAGCCATGTCTTGTAGCATCCTTTTTTTAGATGGTACCCTCTGGTAAACTAACATAGCTATGGAAAATCACCATTTATAATATCTAAATCAACTATAAATGATCATTGTCAATAGCTATTTGACAAATTACCAGAGGGTACAGGTTTTTTTGGATGGTCACAGCTTCCCAAAGCTGTGGACATTATCCCCAGTGGCCCAGCATCGTTGAGGACGATGGTGGGAATCCCACCTCAGCCATTGAGATCGGGACCAAACTGGTGAGCCGCGAGGCGGCCTTCAAGGCCTGTGGGGCACAAACTTCGCCATCCTTGGATCAGGGAGATCGCTGCAAGAGCATCAACCAGGAGCGGCTTACGGTAAAATCCCATCCTAGGAACTGCTTGTATACTGTTATGATATGTTATAATATGTTATAACATGTTGTAATATACTATAACATTGTTATCATATTGTTATAATCATAAACCCTGCTGACATATTAGTGAACCAAAGCAACTTAGCTATGGGACACCACCTTGAATCGATTTTGTTCCAAGCGGACATGAACATTGGCAGAGTATAAGAAGGATTATTCGCCTACCCAATTAAAGAGAGATTGCAATAACCTATCATGGCAACCCCCAAACAAACTCGCCAGTATATTGGGTATACCGGTATACCAGGAAATTGGACATTGTCCAAAATGTACTGCACGCTAGTAGGATTTGAAGTCACCAATCATGTTTTCAAAGATTCGGGAGATCTCCATGAAATTGGGACACGATTTGTTTTCTTCGCCATCTGCCTTGCGGCCTCGAGGATGCTTACCAGTTGGCCCTGAATGTGTCGTCACAGAGAGCCTTGAGCAGATTTCAAAGGCTGGGACGACCGTTGGTGATGGCTGCAGATAAGAAGCCGACCCCGCCAGCTGGCCCTTGGTGGATTTGGAACTACCTGAGCTATACAGACAAGAGCTCGGAGGTGAGGTCCAGCTTATGCATGCATGCATGCATCCCCTCCCTCCCTCCTTCCCTCCCTAGATAGATTATAGATAAATAGATAGATAGATAGATAGATAGGTAGATAGATAGATAGCTAGCTAGCCAGACAGACAGAAAGACAGACAGACAGACAGACAGACAGATACTTGTGTATATATATATATTTAATCATATTTGGGCACATGTCCATGTTGATAAAGAAGGACTCAGCACCTCTTTTTCAAAAGCCGTGACTCGAAAAGCAGCTGGTTTTCAGCTGGTTATCTCTCATGGAATGGGTCAGAAATTGGGGACACCCGGCCTGGTAAACATAGGAAAAACGATTGAACATGGCCATAGAAAGTTCGTGGATTTACCCATGAAAATTGTCATTTTCCATAGTTATGTGGCTGTTTACCAGAGGGTAATCACTGGATATTTTCATGTGCTGAAAACCCCCCAAACAGTTGGTTGTCTGCTGAACTTAGATGTTCACTTCGTCGAAGTTCCCAAGTCGGCTCCCGGTTTCGCCAGGTGGAAGTCGCCTCATGGTATGCTTTCTATCCACTTTCAGGGCCTGCCTATGGGGCTGGGAATCATTACTGCAAGCTCCTGTCCCCCGCCCGCGCTTTGGAATGGATCTACATCGATGGTCTGCGCAAGGCGCCGAAGAACGTGAACGAGGTGAACGTGTCCGTGGTGGTTTAAGCCTCGTTTAGACTCGTTTGGCGGTTTAACCATGCAAAAATCAGATCAACAATGATCATGAGAACACTCCTCAACTTTGATCAATGCTTCAATTTACATCAATAACATCAGATCTTACCCTGGTGAAATTGCAAGTTTTTGGGGTATCGCATTTTTAAACAGGCCCATAAGATGATTCTTCGCCGAGAAACATCTTGGGAATTCCGCCACATCTGGAGGTCCTACCATCATCGGGATGTAAATTACGTTCAATGATTTATGGCTACGATTGGTTTGTTCTTTTGTTGGTATTCCAGATTTTCAATCCTAAAATCGCATGATGAATTCAATTTACTTCCATATTTCTTCAGATGGCTTGATACCACTAACTCTCATTGCACAGATTTCAGATGCAACAAAAACAGCAATTTTCAAGATTGGAACATCCGCCGCGTGATTGAGCAGCCTGGAACATGGGGTCCCTGGTGGACAGTCAACTTTCTAGTTTCACATGGTCCACATTTTTCGCAAGTGTAAACATATGGGTATGAGTCAAAATTGGGTACCCCAATAGTTAGATGGTTAATACTAAGAATAGACTAAAATCTGTGGTCCCCTAGGTCTTCCATTTTGACCCACATCCATATCCGAAGATGGTGTTCAAATCCAAGCAAGAATGTCAGAAACAAATCACGCGGCGTGATGCTGGATCTGCTTATCGATAACCAGCTGTGGAAAATCACAATTCTTAATAGGCAAGCACCGTAAATCATCTATAAACACACCATTTTCATCAATTTTCCATAGCAAACTGTTAAATAACCAGAGGGTGCTCACCAATTGGTGGTGCCCAAGCGGCTCGACCAGAGCCCTTTTGCCGTGGCACTTTACAGCCGCCGATGGAAAAGGGCAGTTGTGTGTCAGGTCAGGGTTGTTGGAAAATCATAGCCTCTGGCTATCTCACATAGCCATGGAACATGGCCCATTTATAG